ATTATTTCAGTTTTGTATATTTGTTGTTCGGTCATGCCCTGGGGCTTATCTTTAATAAAAAAAATCCATAACATTGATTTCATCCATGTCTATATATGTTGGGACTTTTTGCATGAGGGTGTACGTACGATAGCCCGAGACCGGATAACCAGGATTATGGTAGAGAGTCATGAACTACGTTCACTTTCCGTACATAATATTTCCACACTCTATGAAGTATTGGGTTACATGAAATTTCTTTGTATGATAAAACTATTACCACTTTAGGCTCTAAACTTAAGAACTAAATGATACTTATAAATTTACTAGTAAGAACAAGAATCAGTTTTTGGTGTCCCTTTTCCCATCTGGCCACCTATATTTATAGAAGCTGAACATATATGTTGCTTTAGTCAGAAGCATGATCTTCTTCCAAATATAATGTTGCATTTGATGGACAAAGTAATGGATAATGAAGCATTCTATTATAACTATAATTATCACTATCCATACATACAAAGCATTCAAAATCGGAATTTTAAGTAAAATCAAAAATGAAAGTAAAATCGTAGGATTTTAAGGTCTATATAAAAACAAAGGCGAAATAATATTAGTAAGGAAAATCACGAATAACAAAAAAGTACATAACGTTTACAATGATAATTTCTCAAGGTTAATGTTCCAATTTATCAAGGTTAATGTTAGGAGGTGGTGAATCGATGATGATTAATACGTTGATGTGAATTGATGATGGTCGATGGTGGTTAATGTGAGAGAATTAGATGATATTGGTTGAGGAGAAGGAAAAGAGGCGTAATTGTACAAATTTTGGGGGAAATTAGTAAAATTTACTCAAAGATTTGAATCGTAAAATCGTAAGATTTTAAAGATTTTAAGGATTTAAATCGTGAATACTATAGGATTTTAAGGTCCATAGATTTTATAGTGAAATCAGAATCGGAATAGGTAAGTAAAATCATAAAATCATAATACATATGCCATCAATGCATGGAACATTGCATTACTTCATTCAAATTGAACAAAACGACATCATCGCACCACGTGCCCTAATGCATGGAACGTTGCATTACTTGGTTCAAATTGATCCAAATGAAACCATGGCACCACATGGGGAAATTAATGGGATGGAGAAAGGTTGATAATTCTAACCTTATTGCCCGTTTGTTCGCCGCCAATCACCCACTCATGTTGCTCGGCTGCTTGAGTGGCGACCGTCGGAGAGGAACTTGAATTGGAATCGGGCGCCGCTTGGAGATCCGCCGCAGGTCGACATTGTCCGAGCGCTAAGCTCGTTCACATTTTCTGGGAGTTTGGCAAGGCGCCTAACAGTGATGGGGATGGGAGAATCGTAGATTCGAAACTTGTTGAGCTTCAAAGAAGACAACCTGTGCCAGAAACCCTCGTCGGCAGAGCTCTAGAAATGGGGATTGCAATCTTCCCGACAGTAGTTTATTTCCACCGCTAGCAAAAGGGGTCCGAAGTGGAGTCTCTCTTTTAAAGAAAGTTCATACCTTTTCTTTCGATGCAGTGAACATGTTTGCTATTTTTGTTTTTGGTGTGTTTTTTGCGTTAGAGATTTTTATTTTGTGAGATAAACATGTTGTTGATTTGCGTTGTGTTTTGTTGCCGGTGCGTTTCTGTTTGCACAACCTTTGCAAAACACAACAGGATGAAAACTATACTAAACGGGGTCTTAGGAAATCGTTTGGTTTTTAATGAAACTTTGGCAAAGTTTAACAAATCTTTACTGGTTCAATTAATTAACCACTTGGCTCAATATTATTTTCCAACAATATCTTGCACTTGAATCAACTCCCCTTCTTCCTGGTGACAACCATTACCATCAGAATTCATCGCTTGGCCGCAATGTGATACAGTATGGTAACCATCGAGACGGATTGCAGAGGATGGAATCATGGAAAGGTCTTATCCCTTGTTGTTTAAACCATTCAGTGTCATTTGTCAAGTAAAATTTATTAGTCTTTTTGGTTAATGTTAAAACAAGAACAATTTATTAGTCCATTTTAGATCGTATATATAAAAAGTTTTATTAAATTGTTCATACATTTATAAATTATATCAAATATAATCTAGGGTTAATACCATATTTTGGCCTGAAGTATTACCATATAATCAACTTTTGGCCTGTGATTTTAGAAATTAACATCTTGGTCTCAACTATGAGGCATATAATCTAGTTTGACCGTCAATTTGGACGGTTAACACGGTCAACGCTCCAGCTCACCGCCACGTCAGTGACAAATAAATAAATAAATAATTAAATTCAAAATATTTTCGGTTTTCCTTTATCTAATAAATTAATAAAGAATGGTGAAAGAAAGTAAAAAAAAAAGCAAACTCCTTCCATTTGCGCACTTCCCCCAATTTTCACTTCACAGCCGGCCATTAACCACCATATTTATGGAACTGCGCGTCCCACGATTAAATCCAAACAAACAATCAAAATCAAAGCTTCCATTGTTCTCCACCTCTCCCTCTCCACCATTTTTTCTCTCAATCAGTTCCTCTATGTCAAGGAAATGGAAAGAGAGCATAAGGGCTGGACTTCAACCAGTTCTTCAAGCCGATGTAGAACACGTCACCGCCGTCCCCGACGAAGAAACACACTAAAATATCTCGTCATCAGTGTCACAAAGGTCGGCATGACCATCGCACAGACCATCCTCACCTCATCTCTTCCTCTAATCTCCCCTTCCTTTACTTTGCCATTATCCCTTTCACTGCCACTTGAGCTCCGACCGCTGAAAGATGCTGACAAAGAGAGTAAGTTGGATATGGGTTTGTCGACCGCCGAGATTTGGATCTCCGAGCTGGATCTGGGTTTGTCGACAGCACCGATTTGGATCTCCGAGCTGGATCTGTGTTTTTTATGGGGTGTGAGAAGGCGTATTTGATTTCTGGTGAGTTTGCTTCAATCGACCGTAAGAAGGAAACAAGATTCAAGATCTCGTTGGGAGAATTGGAGGACGAATAGGGTCGGTGGTCGACAGCGGATTTTTCTTTAAAGGACAGTGTAAGAGATTGGACATATGTTGGAAGGCGTCAGTAGAGGTGATCAGTGATTGGGTTTAGGTGATTGAGCGTTTGCTGGGCTTGCCTTTAATTGAGTTGTGAACAAGACGAAGAGGGTATTTTGATCGTAAAGGGGGAGAAGTTTTTGTTAATTTATTCTTTTGGTTATTATTGTTTCCGTTAAAATGGAAATAGTAGAAATTACAAAAAATTTATAGGCTGATAAATTTAAAATGGAAATAGTAGAATTCTTTTGAATTCTAAATTTTTTAATAATTTATAGGCTGATAAAGTGATGACATGGATCGTTGATCATTAGTCAATGGTGTTGACCGTCCCAAATGACGGTCAAAATAGACATCCTGCCAAACTATATTATATGTTGCATAGTTGAGGCCAAGATGTTAATTTCTGAAACCACGAGCCAAAGTTGATTATATGATCATTTCTTCATGTCACAATAAGGTATTAACCCTATAATCTACATATAAGTAATAATAATATAAACAACATGTACTTGGATGAAACATAGGGTGAAAATTTGAGCACACTTATATAATATCAATTTCAAATGTTCACGTTAGAATTCTAAAGAAATGATAAGCAAAGGGGAAAATAGGAAAACATACACATTTCGCAAACCAAAGGTAAAAACAACGATGTATTACCTCCAACTCTGGAACCTTGCTACGGCCTACGGGTCAACACGCGATGTATAACGTCCATTTTCCTCACCGAGTCCGAGTCGAACAGGTTAACCCACGAGTAGACCCACAAGTTGACAACCTTGAATAGAACCCAAGTTGGTACGCAAATAAAGGTGTTGCTAGAGATGGCAAGGGGCAGGTCCGATGAAAGTATCTCCATATCCATACCTACCCATGTCGGGTAATTTATCATGGGTTGTAGGCGAGATAGGTCAATTCATATGGGTACGTAATTTAGAGGAAAATATTAGAAATATTCATTTTTTCATTTAAACCAAAAGAGACAAACTGTAATATGATAAATGTAATTAAATTTGTTCAAGAAATTGAGTTTTACTCTTATTTGCAATTTAATTATAGCTAAAATAGGAGGCACCAAGGAAAATCCTAAGATTTTGAGAAAAAGTATGTATAATTTACACAAAAAGTAAAAAACATGTTGAAAATAGGACGAGTGAAGACATATTAGATCGAAAAGAGCCCGTCCCACCTATGGAGCAGATATTACCCATCATAGAACAAATGAAACACATCAAGTAAAACTCAACGTATCGAAATTGTTTCCCTATCCCTAGTTGTTGCAAGTTTGCAATTGGTGCGAGGAGATGGGATAAAGTATTGAGGTTCTAGGAGTATGACAACAGTTAATTCCAAACCTCTTTCTTGCCGAGGAGGAAGAAGAAGCAGAAGGCTACAGAAAGACCACTTGTCAGCATACACGAACGTGGAAGTAATATTCTTACAACAACCCCTACCCGACAACACCAGAATTTCACTGGAGGGTAGAGGTGCCACAAAGAAACTTTCAACCAATGGAGGAAAAAATAGTCTCCCAAGCGCCAAAAATATATAAACTTTACATCGGCCACCCAAATCTAATCCCGTCAAAAGAATATAGCTATGAAAAAATTCAGACAACCCAAAAACAACTCTCTATGCTCTCTTGTGTTAAAAATTGGACATAAGAAGCTGACTATCCCGTTCCTTTTAGATGGATGCCCTGCTATATATTCAACACTGAGAAATTCTCCAAAGAGGTCCACAAGGGAGAAACTCCTTCCTCGCACCAACAAGGGAATAATGATATATGTACCCAAAAGGAGAGAAGAGAAACTACTCTTTTATTTCTCACCAATCTGGTTCTTATTAGTTATTCAAACCTCTTTGAGATCTTGGAAACTAAAACAGGCATTGATTCATTTGGTTATGAGTGTTTACCTCTATCTTGGCATCAAAATTGCATGTTCATAACTCTATCCCTTAGACTGGGAGTATCACATCAAGGTTCTTGTCGAGAATCACATCGAGGTGCCAATTAAGTATCTTTGAACAACTAGAAGGCACAGCTTTCATTTGGCTTTCATCCTCCACCACTTAGCTCTATGAATGTGGTCTCCTGCAAACCAAGAACATCTTTATTGTAGTCGACCAGAACACAACTGGATAAATACAACAAGAGGTCAAGATATATGATATACCTGGAACCCTTTATTCAGTAATCTAATTGCCTGATCAGGTTTTTAAAAGAGCACTGCCATCTCTTCGGGTCCCACAGGATGGTGCTGTTAAAAGAAAACCCTGACATATCAACATAAAATCTTCGTATTCGTTTGCTCTTCTCATTTGCGTGCCATCCCGTCACATGAGTTTCGTTGCACACTGAGCCTTCTAGGATTGCTTTGTTCTTGCTTTGCGCAAGCATTGCCACAGGTCAAGTGCCAAATCGACTGCAATGTACAAAACAAATAGGGCATTATAAGTGAAAGACACTATAAATGTTAGTAATCAAATGAATTCTCACTAACTTGCTATGCTACCCTGACGATGGCAAGATGTAAATAATCATTTATCATCTGTAACCATCTAGAATATTGCAACATTTTTACTGTTTATCCCTATACTTGGACTAGGGGAGTACAACCAACGTCTAAAGAGTTCCTAATTCTAAATCTAGGACATCGCCAATGTGATAGACTGCAGGTGAAGGCATATAACTCTCTGGATTGACAGACTAGAAGTTCAATAACCAAATGGTAAACAGCTTTGTCACTAGCAAAACCAGTTTTCACCTAAACATCACAAAGAAATGAGATGCAACGTATTCGAAATGACTACCCAAGGATTTTAAAGCATACACAATCTCAAGGTACATGCTTTCAATTTTAGGGTTTGAAAATAAAACAACGAGATCAACGAATGTATTGATTAAGAAAACATAGCAACATATGTAGGGCTGGCTATTTGGTCCGGGTTTTTTGGTTTTACCCAAAATCTGACCGTATAACCCGGACCGAGACCGGATAGTAAACAATTCAATCCAATCTTTGGGCTTAGATTTGAGGTAAAAAAACTATTCGGGACCGGATCGAAAACTGGATAAAGACCGGATAAGAGAGCTCAACACCCAATGCTTAAGGGTAATTTGCATAAACGGTCACAAACCTTTGCACTTAGTACAAAACTTAACCAACTCCTAACTCTTTCAGGCCTTAGGCCACTCAAATCCCCACAAGTTCAATATAAAATCAAGACCAAATTGGGACGGACCGGATCAAGACCAGACTGTATCCAATCCAATCTTTGGTCCTTATATTTTCAAAAAAAAACAGACTGGGCCGGATCAATTTGAGTCAATTTAACCGGACCGGACCGTATAGCCACCCCAAAACATATGCCACAAATAAGCAGATAGCATAAACTACAAAACTCCAGTCTAAAGAGGAGAAAATTGCAATAGCCAACTCACTCACATTAATGTCTACATTTGAGAGTAAAGTGGTCCATCAATTCAAACCCTCTATTTTAGGAAGCTAGTTCGGATTCTAAGTAGGAGAAATTGATTTACACAGAATCAAGGGAAAAATGTACCTGATTTCTCTTAGCCGCTCGACCAATTCAAGGGTATACACATTATCATCATCGGCGAAGTAAACAATCCCATCGAGCTTATGCCTCTCAATATGCTCAAGAGCTACATTCCTCTAATGAACACCTCTGTCCTTGACATCCTTCACGTTCTTGGTGCAAACTAAATGCCTATACATGAAGCTAGTTTTCCTCAAAATCTTCGTAGTATCCATGGAAGCAGCATCACTCTCGACCACAATCCATTGTAGTGGAGGCTGCAACAATTGCAGGACCTGGCCTAAACTACTCAAAAAATAACCCTGAGAGGCTCGATTATACGTCGAAGTGACAACGATGAGTTGCTTCCTCGACACCAAATTGAAGTGGGAGGGATTTTCCCTGGAAACCTGCGTATTAACGCCCAAATTGATCGTCTTAATGGGGGAATCATCGTCAAGCATAATGCTCCTGTTATCAATTTCGTCCAATCTGACGTTAACATGATGCAGCTTGATCTCGAACGGGAAATCCTAGCCACTGATATCATTATCGACATGGAAAAACGATAAGACACCTAACACGCAACCTAAATCGAAGAAGAGCAAGCACATGTACAAGGATCTACCGAAGCCTACTTTGCGTTTGTTGGGGAAGGCGGTGGCGAGGAGCCAACCGAGGTAAGCGGAGTAGGAGGAGGTGGTGGTGATGGCGGCGGAGAAGGAGGAAGAGTTTTTGTTAGTATTGCTGGAGACGGAGAGCGAGGAGGAGGTAGAGTTGAAGGCGGCGTTGCCATTCTGGAAGGGAGAACGATCGTGGTGAGCCTGGGAGAAGGTGCAGCGGATCGAAGCCATTTCTGACCGATCTGGTTGAGCCCGGAGATGCATTCATTAATTTGAGGGAATTGAATTTTGGAGTAAAGAAGAGCTGGAAGCTTGATTGTGTGGGGGAATTGACTATGGAGTTGACATTTGAGTATAGAGGTGGCTCCTATTTGAGGGGGGATCGGTGACTGGAAGTAGGAAATGGTGGCGGGGAGACGGGGGAGGGTCACCGGTGAAGTGAGATCTACGGAGGCTGGGGGAGATCGAAGGGGAGGGAGTTTAGGTTTTCCATTTTCCTTCCCCCCCCCCCCCCCCCCCCCCCCCCCCTCCCCCCTTTTTGGCTGTGTTTGAATGAAGGCTTTTTTAACGGCGAGGGAAGAGGGAAAGTAGGGGGGAATGGGAAGGGAAGCAGAGACAAAGAGAGATGCTTCGGCTATTCTGCACGTGATGATCCAGTGGGAAGGTGATGCATTGAGCGAAGCTGTGAGCTCCCATGGGATTGGGCACATAAGCACAATTAAAATCATGATTGATGTGTGAACAATTTTACAGTGATAATCAATCCCTATATGACCTATAACCCAATATCTAAAAACCTCTAAAATTGAAATCTAACAAAGTCTAACCCATCATGTTCATGATTTCTTAATCCCAACTTACATTCAAATCAGACGCTCTTAAACTTGAATAAATCTTTATACTACGATATTTTGAGTCAATTAATGTGAGATATTATTATCAGATTATCACCCTGAGAAAAAAGTTTCAATTTCCTTCTTACCCCAATAAAACGCCAACAACATTCTGTTTACATCACAACTCAGGCTCTGACCTATCATTAGTCATTACCATCTATGACTACGAGTTCAAATCACCTAAAAACCAAGCACTTGAAGCTTACTAAAACAAGTGATGAGGGAAGACACAACATGTTTTTGGCCTTCTTCGCTACATCATCCATTTCCCTACGCCAAAAAAGAGTTGTATGCCTACCAACATGTGTATACGTATATATAACACCAAGCCAGTTTAATCAAGCTCGCAATCCATAAGAAACCTAAAGCGCCTACCTTACAAATTAAGAGTTAAGACAAACTTACATGCCCTTTTCTCTTCCTATTACTGGAAAGAGAGAGGTCTACCATTGGATTACAATTTCTGCAAAAACAAGTAAACAGCCAAGAGCATCTCTTCAAAGATAAATCAACGGTGATATGCTTCAGATTATCAATATTACTTAGGAACCACAGCCTATAGTTAACTTACGAGCAATAGTTGAAGAAAAAAGCAACTAAATCGATGCACCCTGGGCACATACGAAAGAATGGAAGATATGCAATTTGGTGACAACAGAACCAATTGAAATGTTATTTTTCCTCTCTCCTGCATCTACACAAGGGACAAATCATTTGCTGGAATGGATCTCTTAACCAGCTTCAGCCAAGATTCATTAGTCTCCTTGATCACTTTTAGTGCATAGTCCTGTTAGTCCAAAGATCACAACCAAGAAACAAGCGTTGTTTTCAGTTCGTTATAGGATAATTGATGGTTTCAACCAAAACTATAACTTTCCAAAAAGAGTATTAATTGAACTCTGACCTTATTTGCCGCCTTGTTGCCAAGACCAAACTTGTTTGCAGGTTTGCCATCAAGTATTTTATAATCTTTGAACCAGTCACGGATGGCAGTAAGAGTCCCCTGTCGTAAATGGAGAATTTTGAAAAAGCAAAATGTCAAACATCATAAACAAAATGTAGGAGAAATTTTTCAGAGTGTAACCAACTTTAACTTGATAGGATAAGGTCCATTAGGTTGGGCAGTGCCATAAAGCGACCAACTTTATAGCCAAGCAAGATACCCATTGTTTAAGAGGCTAACAACTAGAATAGCATGGCAAGAAGATGTTGAAAGGATTTGAGAACCTAGCATTAATAAAAGGGACCAAGGGACAAAACCGTATGGAATTCAAATCACTTATGTAGGATAAGGGGGGAAAGAACAAAGAACAGTAAGCTATACACTCTTCTATTTTCAGGTTGTAGTAATCTATTTGCATGGTCATATTGCAAAGTCGGTCTGTCATGAGTTAACTCTCCAACAAGCCATAGATTACGAGACATGTTTAAATGAGAGAGATCATCGGTTGAAATTACTTGCCTATTAAAAAATAGCAAAAATGTTGTTAACTTGTGCACATAGTTTTATTTTCTATCTGTACTAATCCTACTAGGTAGGACTAAAAAGTAGCCACACGATGATGTAATATTGGTTCTTATCAGGCATCTTCAGCCCCTAATACCAATCACAATGTATTTCTAGGAAATAGAAAGTAAAGGTCTATAGTGATCAAAGCACATAACTGGATCAAAACACAGCCTGTTGATGGCCTTTTACCAGTCATTCCCATATGGAGTTATTAGAAAGAGAGACGGGATTCAATATTATCCCAGATGTAGAAGATCACCGATCTTGAACTTCCAACCCAACAATCAGATGCTATTATTACATAACAATGTAGGAGGGAGTTGGTCAGATGACCAGTAACACATACCGGAAAATGCTTCTCAACATAATCTATATCATTCACAAGAGTAGCTTTTGGATCATCCAAAGAGATGGCAACTATTTTCCAATCAAGCTCGCCTTCATCAATCATTGCTAGAGCACCCAGTGGCTTGATCTTAAGTATTTCACCAATCTCTCCTCGCCTCTCCCCTATCTCAACAACATCAACTGACACCAACACTCAAACACCAACATTGTAGTTATTTAGATCATCTGCTTCATGCTGCCATTTGCTCCAAAATCACAAGAATGGATACAAATTTCAAGCAGCGGGTGTACTGTAACCATACCCAGATCATTATCCCCAAAAGCACCATCAACTTCATTGTTTGCAAATGAAGGATCCTCCCAAGTCTGTGGAAGCAGCCCGTAGTTCCAATTTATGTTGTATCTAAACAAAGGGACAAGATAATTCTTCACTACATTGCAAAAAAGTATTAATCATATTCTTTGACAAAGTTGATTAAAAAACTAAGCACATTAGAAGCCTGGAATAAACAACTAGTAAACTTACGAATAATAATGAAGCTTCCCTTTATTTGTATCTTGCTTGATCGGAGTGAATGGCTCGTCGGTCGCCACCTCCATTTTCGCACTGCTCTCTTTGGAAATCTCCACAATGAAGTTGTATACGCCATCACCCAATTGAAGCGGGCACATCGTGCCACGGCGAAACCTACTCCAAAAACCAAAGCCTTCTCCATCACATTCTTCTCGTAACCGCTATGAAAAAAATTAGCAATGGCCAGAAATCTAATTGAGTAGGAGATGTGATTCATACCTTTTTGCCGGAGTGATCCACGAAGAAGACACAGTAATCGAGAGTCTCCGGTCGGCCTTCCTCTTTGATCTGGACCTCGGGATTGTAGAGAGCTCTGCAAGTATAGAATCGCCGCCTCTTGGCCGACGGTGAAGAGAGTGCTCGACTGATGAGATGCAGAGCGTCAGACCTAACGGAGAACGATTTCAGGAAACAGGAAGCTGGGGAGGGTGTAGATCAGGGATACCGCGACACTCCTCCGGCGACCACCATGACTTTGGCAGCCGTTGTGGTGGTCATAGCAGCCGCCGCCATTTCACTTCTTCGTCTTTGACTTGGGGGACTACAGAGCAGGGTCCACTATGACTCGACATTTGTGACGCTGCGATTTCTTCCGTCTCGCTTTCAAGGAATAAACAGTGGATAGTAGAGAAAAGTCAGTTGTTAATGGGTTGTATTCTTGCTCTCAAAAGTTTCAGTTTCACTCCAAAGAAACCAATGTTTCAGTTTCACCTCTCCAGTTCTTATTTAAGTACAAATTATGCCAATTCTTGACAACACTTCTCTTTTCACGAATGAACATTTTAGTCCAATGTGACTACGTGAGTGGAGTGTGAAAAATATATTTGGTAAAATACAATTTACTAGCAAATTTTTATTTTTCACAATCATTAGTTAAAACTCTAAAAATAACATTATAAAATTTTAGTCGTTCATTTGTTATCATTAATAGTACTGTTAACGGATCTCCACATCAAATGCTCAACTAAATGCCACTAAAACAATTGACCTATTTTCTTGAGTAAACAAAATTTATTAGCCATAGATTTTAACTTTCACAAAATATTAGTCAAACCTTTTATCTTTGACAAAATATTAATCAAACCTTTAAAAATATTAGTAAAATTTTAAAAAACATCACAAAATTTAGACTTCGATATGATATCATTAGTGATGTTTCCCCTCAACTACCACATTAAATTCAACCAAAAAGGTGTTGATTTTTTATAGCTTATATTCTTTAAATTTAATTTTGTATTATTATCATATAATTAAGAATACTACAAATAAGATTACTCTCATAACTACTTTTTCATATGGACTGGGGTTTCCCCCATAATAAACGCCTACAATTTTAAAATTTCAATATAACGGTAACCTATAATTATTTCTCAATCTAGCAGTATAGGTAACCAAAATTTCCAATATAGTCGGGTTTTTGCTTACTTGACAGTGGGTAGGAATCTCGCTAGTCAAACTAGCGACATATTCACACAACACAATAGGTGTATTACCGATGATTGGTATATGCATGCAATGTGAATACTCCAACATATATTTTATGAATATGGCGAATGTGTTGTAGGATTATGTCATGTGGTGTATGTGAATATGGACTATGGTGTGTGCGAATATGTCAGTCCACATATAAAAACAACTCAAATAATTTGTCTAATACATATCAAGATTGATGTCATTAGATGCTAAAAAATAAATTAAGGGTTGTTTCTTTACGATTTTTTGTGAAAACACAATGTTTTGAACATCAATGTTAAAACAAACAAAAAAGTGCTCTCGACACGTTCTCCCACGCAATGCAGTCAAAAGCACAATTCTACCTAGACGTGAAAAATGGAAAAAATCGTAAAATGGAGAATTGAAATGTAAAAGCACAGGGTTTTTACGCATCCTGTGAAATAGCTAATAATCTGTTAAATACGACATGTACTATGTAAAATGTCAATGTATAGATTTCAGATAAGTGAATAACTACTTGTAATACATGTTTAAAATGAATTTCTCACAAATAATTAGAAAACGGAAAAGCGCTTTATTCTTCCCCACCTCCTTGGCTTCTCCACCAAATAACTTCCTAACTTGCAAGTCTTTCATTCAGCTCATTCGCTTCCTTACTCTAACACTAAGAACTGAGACTTTCTTATCCTCTCCCTATGATCGAGCTCATTTGTCTACAAAATTTTTAGGTTTGCTCATAATTATCAAATTATATAATAACTTATTTCCACCTTTTTTATGAAAATTGTGTTTTAATTCATCAAAGCGCACAACGAAGAGCAAACCAGCAATACTGTTTTACAGAGCCACAGTAATCCAACAAGCAACGCATCCCACCTAACAACGAACTAGCAGTATCTAACTAGAAACTAAGAAAAACATCAAAAGAAACACACAACAACAATTGAATACATCCTATAATGAAAACCAAATACCCTTCCTTCTTGCATCCACCTTTACCGTCATTATAGATACAATATTTTAATATTTCATTTTACAATATTCAAATCACGTATCATCTTCACTTGCAGTAATTTATCATTCAATGAATGACTTAAAAATTATCCACTCACCCAATTCGGATGTTTCGATATATGTAAAACACACAACATCTTACTTTTTTAATACACTTATCTATAAATAGCAGCATTGTGCAACCATCACCTATTCACCTCCCCCTCTCTATTCCAATTCAGTCTTGAAGCCCCAATTCAGCCAATTCAAAGTTTGACACCGACGTTTGGCACCAACCCGTCCATTTTTATCTCTGCCAGTTTTCGTAACCACGTCCCTCTCCCCATTGTCGTTGGAACCTAGCAACATCATCTTCTTTGGAAAGGTCGTAGTCGAAGCTTTACCCCAAATTAGGGTTATATTTAGTTTAGAATAACTAATCTGGTTTGCACAAATGTGATGCCAATTTGTACTCTTCAAACTCTGCACACAACCTTGCCCAACAGAAAAGATCCTAATTCACTCGATGTTAGTCATGCGCACTTACTGAATTGACAATATAGTGTACATAAGGACTGATCTGGGGATAGTGATTATATAAGCATATAACTGCATTGGAATAAAAGGAAAGAACATAAGGAAAAAGGAACGTCATTGTAAGGACCCAGTGGCTTGACAACTGTTAGGGAGAATTTGGGTATAAGAAGGAGAGCACAAGCCTTTCGTTATAAAAGAAGCCGACATGAGGTGATAGTCGCCGAAGGAATAGAGAATGGCAACGATGGAGATAAACGTGTGGAGGTTGTTGAGGATTTGTGGATTTACCTTTTTTTTTTTTGCAGATAAGTCTCTAAAACGGTATCGTTTTTAGACAATTAGCTAGTGCATTTTTTAGGGATGGTCAAAATCGTATGAAACGGATCAGAATTGAGAATTTACCAATTTTATGTGATTTTAACAATTTACCCACAATTGTTCCCGTTTTTGTGTACAAGCGACTTTAGGTGGAAACTGAAACGTGTTTGTGACCTAGATGCGTAGAAATGTACGTTTTTATGTTTTAATGCGCGATTTTGACTATAATGCTCCCACGCATCCAAGCCAGCATAATGTTGCTTTCCCTAAAAGCGATAAAGTATGTCTCCACTCTGTCAAACGACATACCATATATCGCCTTCTCAAGTGGTGACATTTCGCTTGTCCATGCCACGTCAGTAAATATACCGCTACATTGGGAAATAACTGTGAAACACCGCCATTTGGAGAAATTTCTTTTAAATACATTTTGGGAAAATCCCAACTGGATTTTGTATTATTATCATACAATCATGAGGCCGCCATACCTTCTTTAAGACTGATGAAGGAAAACATAAAAAAATCAACCAGAAGGAACTTCGATTGGGATTGGTCGAAATAGAAACTTTGAAGGGGTTGAAGAAGAATATTTTGAAATCGGCACGATGTTTTAATTTTGAAAGGATTGGTTCGACTATGGATATGACTTTTATTTTCATTTTGTTGTTTTTATCAAATCGGCACGACGTTTGTCAGCTCTACATTGTCTAGCAGAACTTTCAATGAGAATCTGACACATGTTCAAATTTGTTCCCATCCCGAGAACTGAGATACTATTCTTCCTTATGCAACTATTGTCACCCAATTTCTATAAAAACTTTGGATGGATCTTGAAGGATTTTAGTTCTCCGTTAGATAAGCAAACTCTCCCTATATACTTCCACATGAATGAGACGTCCACCTAGCGCCACATTCGGGTGGTGGATCCTAGTCATTAAGGAGGAGAATCAACTACTTCCTCCAAACGGTTTAGGAAAATGTTGTGTTGCAAAACAAAGCCGATAACCATGAAGAAATTGACAACGTAATGAGGGCTACGATTGAAGTTAAGAAAATGCTTAAAGGGAAAGGTAGAGGGAGCGACTTCAAGATCCGAAAGTAGACATGAGTGATGACAATGAAGCAAAAAGTTGAGGGAAATTGATTTGTTCAAGGGAGCTTTTGATATTATCTTCGCTCAGGCTATCCTACTTTGACTTATAGCATTTCTTTCTTCATGACTGATAATCTAGCAAGTACTGAGGGTGAGTGATAACATTCAAAATGATGTTATTTAGAGCCCATATTTAGGTTTTTTCGAGTCATGTCATGGTCTTCATGGTTAATATATCATCAAATATACCATTTATTCGTTCATCGGAGAAAATATAACTATTTTAAGTTGTACTGGATGATATGAGTGTTTTAGGGACCAAAAGTGGGCACTAGTGTAGAGAAATGTGCAAAAATTGAGGATTACGGTCAGAGCATGCTAGATCACGACCGGGAACTGGGGACAGAAAGTGAAGATCACGACTGCAAAGTCGGAGGCCTCAGCTGCAAACTCTTGGAACAGCCAACAAGGAAGAAACATAAAGTTTTGATATTCCACTCAAGACTTTATTCATCCGAGCCAGCGAGAAAGATCGCAGTCTTTACTCATGGATCACGACCGTGAAACCAGTTGCGAACTTCCCAACCATCCAAGAGCAAAACGACAAAGCTCGAGATCACGACCTCTCCT